AATTTAAAAAATGAAATAAAATAAAAATACATTATTCAGCCATAAAAGGAAAAGAAATCCTGCCATTTGCAACAACATGGATGGATCTACAGGACATTATGCTTAGTGAAATAAACCAGGTGGAGAAAAATAAATACCATTATTTCATCACTCATTTGTGGAATATAAAAACAAAGCAAAACAGAAGGAACAAAACAGCAGTAGTCTCATATAGACACTGAAAAGTGTCAATTAAAAATAGAAAAGAAAATGGCAAGAGAGACAGAGAAACAAAAAGGTCAGGCACTCCACCACTGATGCTAGGAACTGCAGTAATGGTTATAAAGATGCTCACTGGACTTGAGAGAAGAGTGAATGAACTCAGGGAGAACTTCATCAAAGAGACAGAAAACTTAAAAAAGAACCAATCAGAGCTAAAAAATGTACTAAATGAAATGAAAAATACACTAGAAGGAATCAACAGCCATTCAGCTATCAGCTGATTTTCCTTACAGCAAAAGCAGAAAACTTACAGGCCAGAAGGAATTGGCATAATATATTTAAAGTGCTGAAAGCAAAAAATCTACAACTAATAATACTTAACACAGCAAAGTTATCATTCTGAATTGAAGGAGAGTTTCCCAAACCAACAAAAGTTAAAGGAAAATCAAACAGGAAAAAATTTCACTGGGAGGAGCAAACATAGAGCCAAAGTAGTAGATCAATCACTTAAAAGCTAGTTTGAAGGTTAAAAGACAAAAGTAATAACATCAGTTGTATCTAAAAATTTAGCTACAGGAATCACAAACTAAAAGATGCAAAATATGATACCATATACATAAAATATGGATGAGGGTAAGTAAAAATATAGTGTGTTTACAATGTGTTTGCACTAAAGCAGCCATCAACTTAATACAGACCACTATACACTTAGAATTCATGTGAGCCTTATGATAACCACAAACCAAATACACGTAATAGATACACAACAAAAAATAAACAGAAGGGAATCCAAGCATAACAATAAAAAGTCATCAATCACAAGAGAGCAAAAAAGGAAGAGAGCTACAAAAAACAAAAACAGGAAACAATTACCAAAATGTACATACCTATGAATATTTACTCTAAATGTAAATAGTCTAAATGCTCCAATCAAAAGATACAGGGTGAGTAAAATGGATGAAAAAACAAAGCCCAGCTATATGCTGCCTGCAAGACACTCCAGACCTAAAAACACATATAGACTGAAGGTGAAGTAATAGAAAAAGATATTCCATGTAAATGGAAACCAAAGAAAGCAGGGGTAGCAATACTTTTATCAGACAAAATACACTTAAAACAGAGTGTAACAAGCAACAGAGAAAGGCATTACATAATGGAAACACATCCCAGTTTCACAGATGAGTATGTCAATACTACCCAAAGCAATCTACAGATTTAATGCAATACCTGTTAAAATCCCAATGTTTTTTGTCAAAATAAGAAAAAACCCACCCTAAAATTTATATGGAATCTCAAGGGACTCCAAATAACCAAAACAATCTTGAAAAAGAAAAGCAAAGCTGGAGGATTCAATTTCTGATTGCAAAACTTCCTATAAAGCTACAGTAATTCTAAGCAGAGTGGTAGTGGCATAAAGGCCACTGCCATAGACATAGAGGCCAATGGAATAAGACAGCACAGAAACAAATTGGTGCATATATGGTCAAATGATTTTTGACAAGTGTGCTGAGACACTCAATGGGGAAAGGACAGTATTTTCAACAAACAGTGGTAGGAAAATGGATATTCCCAAACAAAAGGATGAAAGCAGACCATTACCTAACACAATATATAAAAATTAACTCCAAACAAATGAAAGACCTAAATGTAAGACCTAAAACTATAAAACTCTTCAGAAGAAAATACAGAACAAAAGGTTTTGACACTGGATTTGGCAATTTCATGGATATGACACTAAAGACAACAAAACAAAAAACAGATAAATCTGACTTCACAAAAATTAAAACCTTTTTTATACATCAAAGGCAACATCAACACAGTAAAAAGACAACACACAGAATGGGAGAAAATATTTGCAAGTCATATGTGTGGTAAGAGTTAATACCCAGAATATATAGAGAACTCCTACCACTCAACAACAAATAACTCAATTCAAAAACAGGCAATGGATTTGAACAGATATTTCTCCAAGGAATATATACAAATGGGCAATAAGCACATGAACAAATGCTCAACATCACTACTCAATAGGGGAATGCAAATCAAAGCTGCAATGAGATACTAACTCACATGCATTAGGCTAGTGACTCAAAAAAATGGAAAATAGTGATGGCAAGCACATGGAGAAATGTGAACCCGTGTACACTGCTGGTAAGAATGTAAAATGGTAAAGCTACTGTGGAAAAGAGTATGGAGGTCCTACAAAATTAAAAATAGAATAACTAATATGCAACAGTTCTACTTTCATGGACATATCCTAAAGAATTAAAAGCAGAGTCCTGAAGAGGTATTCTCACACTAATGTTCAGAGCAGCGTTATTCACAATAGCAAAAGTGTGGAAGCAACTGAATGGATAAACAAAATGTGACATATACATACAATGGAGTATTATTCAGTCTTAAAAAGGAAGGAAACTGACAAATGCTACAACATGGATGAGCCTTGAGGACATTGTGCTAAGTGACATAAGCCAAGCACAAAAAGACAACAGTGTATGATTCTACTTATAGGAGGGACTTATAGTAGTTAAAATCAGAGACAAAGTAGAATGTTGCTTGCCGGCTACTGGGGAGGGGGGAAAAGGGGAGTTGTTTCATGGGTTTAGAGTTTCAGTTTTGCAAAGTATAAGTTCTGCAGATCTTTTGCACAACAATGTAAATATACTTAACACTACTGAACTAAACATTAAGATGTTAAACTGTGTTTTTTAAAACTAAGAAAAAAATTTTAATTAAAAATTCTGAGTAGCTGAACAACACATCACCTCAAAATTAAATCGTATTACAAATGCAGACTGGTCTTGTAAGACCACACTGAAAGTTAATTTCATTATTGGAAAACCCCAAACAACAATTACTAAGGAATGAGTAATCTGGAACAGTGAACTGTGGTATTCCTCATTCCCTTGTTTCCTTGCTTTTGCAATCCTTTTTGCTCCTTGCTACCACTATGCCCTACATTTTTTCAAAGCACTATATGGTGAACAAAATGACAGCAATAGTTACCTTGTATCTCCAACAAGAACTTGAAGAAATGGAAGCAAGACAGAAGGAATTTAACTTCATTATGCCAACGAACTCCCATGAGGAATTACTTAGGATAGAAGACATCATTGCATTTTTTAAAAACAGAATAAAAATTCTGGACTTCTAACAATTTAGAAATAATCCTGCCTGAAAAAGAAATAGATTGTGTCCTTTTCATGATCCTTACAGTTCTGATCCTTAGGAAAGAGAGCCACTAAAGACAGGGTATCAAAGTGACTTAACATCACAAAATTATTTAAGATAGAATAAGCAACTATTAACTTATGTCACTGTTCTACTTTAGAATGTAACCAAAAACCTACTGCATGGTAACAATATTGGCCCCTAAAAAAACGGGGAAAAAAAAAAGAATGGAGCAGAAAAAGTATCTAGCACTCTCAACTGTCAAGCTAGGATTCAGTGGTTCTATCTTTCAACATGCTATAAAGTGCATAAGCATAATGTATCAACTCGGTCACATATTATTTGCAACATTTGTACAGGTTAAGTTTAGACGCTTTAAAGTTAAACACCTTAAGAGGTTTCTGCTTCTAGTAATGGCCAAAAAGCTCCTAAGCAAGCAATCCTCCTCCAAAAACTATATAAATTTTGGACAAAATTTGCATAAAAAGAGCAAGAGGTAAAAGAATAAAAAACATGTATCATATGCCATCCACTGCAGAGAAGACACAGTTTGGGGTATGACTCTAGCCAAGGTAACTGCCCACTGAAAAACAAAACAAAAATGCTCTTTACAGGAATATAACAGAATCCTGAATCTTTGCACATATACTTCACAATATTCAATAGAAATTTGCTGGATTTATGAAGAAATAAGAAAGTATGACCCATACTCAAGAGATAGAAAGCCAGTGCAGACTAGCCCCAAGATGACCCAGCTGTTGAAATCTAAAGCAATTACAAGAAATTATACTCAGGACTATAATGGAAAATGGGGCTGTAATAAACAAAAAAAATAAAATCTCAGCAAAGCAACAAAACATAAGCATGAAAAGTACAGACCTGAAACTTACAATCTTGAAAATAAAATATTCATCAATTGAGCTTAACAACAAATTGGAGTAAACAAAGTCAGGTTTGACAACAGATCAGGAGAACAAGTTGAAAGAAAAAAAAACAGAGCCTCAGTGACTTGTGGGACAATACCAAAAACGTCTAACATGTAACTGAAGTACCAAGAAGTAGAGGAGAGAAAGGGGTAATTTTCACTCCACAGGTAGCAAAAAGAATGAACCTGCTCGTATTAGCATCAACCATGAGCAACTGTGAAGAATAAAGATTAAGCAGACTCTTCAAAGCCAGTTCCAAATTTAAAGTGGAAATGTAATCTGTATGATTTTTAATCTGTATGATTTTCCCTCTAGGAAATCAAAACAGCCAGATTATTAGTCAATGACTTTGTGTTTTAATGACTCTGTTCCCACATGTTAGCAGTGCCAGCTAGCTTTATTGAAGTAGCTCTTGTATACAAATATAACAACTTATAAGAAAAATACTAATGTCTTTGAAGTAGACTTTCCAGAAATATGCTATTCTGAAGAATCAGTCATACACAACTCAGAAGGGAGCTGTCACAGTTACACAAAAATGGCCTGCTCTGTAGCACAAGACACAAATTTCAGATCTTCGACTGGCTCACCATGATCCCAAGAATATATAAATAAAAATGTAAAAATTCTTGCTATTTGTTCAAAACCAAGATGACAATATTAATTCAAACTATATTAAGGCATAGAAAGAAAAGAGATTACCTTGACAGCTTTCTGGGAATTGGGCAGTCCTTCCTCTATGTCTTCTAAAAGAATTCCTCCTAAGCCTCGCTGGTCATGCTGATCTAACAGCCTAAGCAGGGCCTTCTTATCTTTCAAGTTGTACTTGGGCTTGAAGGCATACTTCCCCTCTATTACTTCAATTTTGGGATTATTGACTAATGCCTGCAACAGTGACACAATTTGCATAAATTAACCAAAAGAAGCCTCATCTACACATTCTTAAATTATAATAAACATTAAAAAAAACCAATATTCAATATACCGGCAAATTTAAAAACGCCTTGTGAATATCTACTAGCAGATCTAAAATACTGAACATCTAGAACCCAAACAACAGGTAGAGATCAGCATGGTGCACATCTTTTATAAAAAAATGTTTTTTACATAGTCTTTGGATGACAAGAAACTATTTTATTGCAACTACTTTGAAGAAAACCATACCAGTCTTCTTTTGAAAGAAAAAAGAGGAAAGAATCAGTAAAATGTCTATTAACATGAATAGACAAAGTGAGCTGGGTATCACCTATCCCACCCTCAATATACAGTTACCGCATACTGGCACTATCATGTGAGAAACAGTACCCTGGAATGAAGATCAATAGGCAGGCTGCCCCCCAACTGGTAACGAATGGCACTAGCAGCCATGGAAGGAAATGACAAGCACCAGACTAGTGCATACAAGAAATTTACCTATGTCAGCTTGAGAATGAAACTGAGTAGGAACATAGAAATTACTGAATAGAATTATGTTCCTAATCAGTTCCATTGTACAGCTAATATCAGAAGGAAAGCTCTTTAAGAATGAGCAACCCTATTTATTTTCTTCTGCAGCTGCCAACCAAACGATGAGAGGAGAAAGAAAAAAAACACAGAAAGAAGAAAGGAGGGAAAATGGAATAGTAATTTTTAAAAATCTTCTGATGTGGGTAGCCTTTGAAATTCCAAGATTAGGTAAAATAATGAAATTTAAATGTGGATTACCACTATTTGCCTATCACTAAAATAGTGAGTTATGATGATACTGATTAACTGGCCCATTTTATATCATGAAAACCAAGAACAATATTTTGCTTGCTATTAAACAAAATTAACTGATTGCATTTTAGGAATTTTACATTTGGTCTTTAGAATATAGCACTGGTCCTAGAAAGTAGTCTTCTTAATTGTCATTTCATACTTAAATGGAAAAGTGAATTTTCAAAATGTTATTCATTTACAAATTAGCAGTTACTGACTGACTGGGAGTTTCTTCCAATACTGTGTGTACGTACACATGCTCATGATTATTTTTCAAAAGTAACCTGCTAGAGGCACTAACATCACTGTCAAGTCCTAAGAGCAGTAAGAGTGCAACAAATACCTTGCTATCCCCCCATACCTTATGTTATAAATGTCCTAAAACATATGCAAAAACAATTTGCCAATACGTATATTTTAAATTTAGCAATTCAAAAAAAGCATTGTTCTGTAAAATATTAAATGGAACTGGTATAATGACTAACTTCTTTACAATTTTATGCTAAAGTCTTTGCATTTTTGAATATGTATTATGTAAAAACAAATCAATCTTAAAATGTTTATATTTAAGAAACATTAAAAACCCTATACCAGTTTTAAGAAAAAATAAAAATAATTATCAAATTTCACAACTAATTTTTTTTCTTTTATAATATTTTAAGACTATTCTTACCTCAGTCATTAGCCATTGTTTCTGCTTGAGTCCAATATCTAAATGTTGTGTTTCATCCAAAATTTCTTCTAAAGTTAAAGGATGTGTGTCTCCTCGTTGATGCCGTGTCTATTGAGGGAAGAAACTGTCATTAGAAGACAGTTTTAAAATGCTAGATGCTTTAAATAATAGTTATAGGTACATGAATCTTTTCAGGAATGTAGAACATGTACCATTAAGAGAATATAAAACCAGACAGAAGTGAGTTCAAACTCAATAGGTTTATAAATCCAAATAATAAACTGAGAAAAAAATATTTGCAACTCATAGCACAAAGAGCTAATTAATTGTCCTAATATTTTCACAGCTACAAAAACCTACCAGGAAAATGGTCCAAAGACAGGAGGAACACATAAATCACAAAAAAGAACTGCAAAAAGCTTATATGTATATGAAAAAGATAACTTCAACCAAGACAGATCTTAACTATTAAACTGGCAAAAATCTGTACATTTGACTCTATGGGTTAGGCTGTAAGGGAACAGGCCCTCTCACACACTACAGATAAACGGATACAATTCCTAGTGAGGGCAATTTCGCAATATAAATGTACTTAAAACCTTTGACCCAGCAACCCCACTTCTGGGAATCTACCCCAAAGACAGCCCAACATAGAAAACTGATAGCAATAAATGGAAACATATCCCATGCTCATGGACAGGAAGAATTAATATTGTCAAAATGGCCATCCTACCTAAAGCAATCTACAGATTCAATGCAATCCCTATCAAAATACCAACAGCATTCTTCAACGAATTAGAGCAAATAGTTCTAAAATTCATATGGAACAACAAAAGACCTCGAATAGCCAAAGCAATTCTGAGAAGGAAGAATAAAGCGGGGAGAATTACGCTCCATGACTTCAAGCTCTACTACAAAGCCACAGTAATCAAGACAATTTGGTACTGGCACAAGAACAGATCCATAGACCAGGGGAACAGACTAGAGAGCCCAGATATAAACTCAAGCATATATGGTCAATTAATATACGATGAAGGAGCCATGGACATACAATGGGGAAATGACAGCCTCTTCAACAGCTGGTGTTGGCAAAACTGGACAGCTACATACAAGAGAATGAAACTGGATTATTGTCTAACCCCATACACAAAAGTAAATTTGAAATAGATCAAAGACCTGAATGGAAGTCATTAAGCCATAAAACTCTTAGAAAAAAACATAGGCAAAAATCTCTTGGACATAAACATAACCAACTTCTTCATGAACATTATCACCCTGGGCAAGGGAAACAAAAGCAAAAATGAATGAACAGGTGGGACTGTATCAAACTAAAAACCTTCTGTACAGCAAAGGACACCATCAGTAGAACAAAATGACATCCTACAGTATGGGAGAATATATTCATAAATGACAGATCCGATAAGGGGTTGACATCCAAATTATATAAAGAGCTCACGCACCTCAACAAACAAAAAGCAAATAATCCAATTAAAAAATGGGCAGAGGAGCTGAACAGACACTTCT